TTTTGCTCTGATATGCATTATCAGCTGTCAGACCTTTAATTAAGACGTGTGTGCCTTATCAAATTATACCCATTCAATTGAATTTGCCACAGGTTAACTTCACTCGAAGTGTAGTATCATCTACAAGCAATATGAATGTGCCTAAGCTAAATTTAAACTGTTCCAATTAAGGGTATGAATACTTATGCAATGGAATCATTTAAGTTTTTTGCTTTACCATTATGCACAGCAAAATCCCCAGAGTTAAATCAACTCTGCTCAGAGTACATATTGTCCCAATCTACAGAGTGTTAAAGTAACACTGAAGCCGAGTTAAAGTTAATGGGATAATTAAGCAATTGATTAATTGATGAGTGAGCATTAGTAAAGAAAACCCGCTGTTAACAATGTTGAAGATGAACAACTACAGCTCAGGCTTTTAGACATGAAAACATATCACATAATCCTCAACAGTGGTAACTCTGCTTCAGTGTTACTTTAACACTCTGTAGATTGGGACAATATGTACTCTGAGCAGAGTTGATTTAACTCTAGGGATTTTGCTGTGTGGTGTATGGAGCGTAGATTGATGTGGACACACACACACACACACACACACACACACACATATATCTTGTGTTTTGTGCTTACAATTGAATGTCTTAAACTGCCGATCTTGTTACTGTGCTAATAAATAGTGTTTTCACTATACTTTGGATATTAATATCCATTGCAGAATTGATGTTATACGGCTCGTTCAATGAATCGCTGGTCCCTCAGTGATCAGCCAAAAACAGTGATTCGGTCCAAATTCCCTATAAAATCATAAATGATTCCCTTTGAGCTAAATTGATCTGTTTCCCTTACACATCTAACAATGGACAAAAGTGTTTCCCCCCCCCCTCTAACCTATGGTTCTCTAACCATAAAGGCTGCTGTGTAATTTGCCCCCTGACTAAGCATTTAAAGAATTTAGGGGAAGCATTTAAATAATCCTGTGAATGCACTTAAATAATGCAGAATCGAATCGTTAATCGAATCGAATCTAATTTAATTGTGAATCGAATTGAATCATTCTGAATTTGCAAAAATCGTTCTTAAATCGAATCGAAAACCTATGAATCGTGAATCGAATCGATTCGCCGTCTACCCAAAGATTCACAGCTCTACTCACTACATATCAAACGATTTGTAATAACAGACTAAACAATAGTGACCACGTAATAAAAACAGTTATTCACATTTGGTGCGACATTACAGTCGGATCCAATATATTCGGCACATCATCGTCTTTTAGTTTCAGTCTTTCTGAAAATCCTGCGTCGAATTGTGCCTTGTTTGTAAACGAACCCGTGATAAAATGAAGTGAAAGAAGGAAGGCAATGCAAAGACTGTGTTTTTCCACAGCTTGGCACTGAACAGTGTTTTGTTGTCTTCAGAGCATCTTTATCGTTTGGTTTCTGCATAGACCTGTGTTTGCCTCTGTCGTTATTCATCTACTACATGTGTGAATCAGTGGGCGGGGCTAAACAGGCAGCGATGTCAAAGCAGGCGTTTATTTTCTTCTGAGGACGCGGTGTTTAGCCATACTATTATGTCATAAAGTGGCACATTCCACAAGCTGACATTTTGGCAGATTGGCTTCAATATAAGCTGTTTTTAGACTAACGAGAACATTTTGAGTTTTGAAACTTACAGGATGTTTTTGTAGTACAATGACTTCTTATATGTCAAAAGATCAAGGGAATTTTGATTTCTCAGTTCATGATTCAGTTCCTTTAATTTGCAGTAGATGAATGTGGAAAATGTATATCAAAATGTAAGATTAATAGTTCAAACAACACTGGAATACAAAGTAAAATAAGTGAAAGCCATCGCCATTCTCTCCTAATTGAGCTTTACCAATGGGACTTGGGACAAAATAGGAAAAACCCTACAAGGGCATTCATCACTTTGAAAATTTATTTTCATATAAAAAGACACTCTATGAAAACAGTAGAGGACTACTTTGTACAATCTTATGTATAAAAAAAAACTTAAATGGTGCAAGGAGGATTCTCTTGTGATAGCCATCTTCTTTAGCCAATGGGATTGTGTGTGCTGGCAAGGGCAGGGTCCAAAAGTTTCAAACATGTCAAGCCATGAAGAAAACACCATTCATGTTCACCATTAATTTTCCTACGTGACGAACATCCTCCTCACAATGCACATATTCAAATACATACATTTTATGTGACTGTAAGGCCATTCTCAAGATTTGTTTACTTTTTTCCTTTTTTTTTTAAAGAGCAATACATAAATCTGTTCAAAACATAGTTAATTTAGTGGGATTCTGGAGTGTAATTCTCCAGCTTCAATAAGTAGGACTCAGTAAACATCTATAAAAAAACAACAACACTCATATAGAGACAGAAATAGAGTGGAATGATAAAATGTTGAAACGGTCGATGACTGCATCAGACAAAAGAACAACAAAAACAAAACAGGCACTGTAAATGAAGCAGGGTTTGTGTACAGCTGAGTGATTGCGAAGAGAACGACTCCAAAACTAAAATAGCCGTCTCACCTGTGTGGTTTATCATACTAACCTTTTAAGACAAGGCTACAATGACCTCACTTCCTTTCACCAAAGACTTTATCTAAATCCCAAACATTCCGAATTTTAAAATTCATATTATAAACATTTAGTTCCAGTCCTCAAATTTGATTAGCTGGTGTTCCAAGAGTGCTAATTTACAGTCCAACTGCATTTGAACTTTCCCAGTTCTTGTATCTTGGCTTCTTTAGGAATAATTTTCATTGGTGGAACAAAAATGGTCAAATTTAGTCAGAAAGAAAACTTTGTTTACCAAACTGTTAAAAGCAATATCACAAACACGCTACAGTACCGAATTTCAGCAGAACTGCTGCCAAACAGGACTCTTGATTATGCAATATTGCTTTTCCCAAATATGAGAGTAATATTCAGTCTTTCTTGAATGCAGATGAGACAGGAGATGAAAAACTAGTTTTAATTGCTATGGTCGTTTGGAGATATTTCATGAGGACGAGGCAGCCCGTGTTCCCCATTAGTGCAGATTACTTGCAAAGGTTGAAATGGCATGCTCTAGTCTTGCCATCTGTGCTTATATAATATGCTGACTTCAGGGATCTTTGAGCAGATGAAATTTGCGCCAAGTAAGAAAATGTCAAGACAAATCGTTATTCCCCCAAGATAATTAGCACACCTCTCTCTCCCTCATTTGCCCTCTCGTTCTTGCTTTCTGAGTCTCCATGTGGAGTTACATCAGCCAACACAACTAATGAATGGGTTATAAAGAGAAGCAGGTTAGCAAAGATGACCTCTGCGGTCTGCTTAGCATTACGCCAACTGTCAAACTCCACAGTCGAAGTGCAGAAATAAATCGGAATCAGAGTCACTGGATTTCAAATTAAAACATCACAAAGCACTACTTTTTGCAAGAGCAGAAATGTAGCACAATATTAAGATGGAGAAGAAATGTGGAAACTTAGAAGAAAGTTTCCACATTTACCTTTGTGTTGGTTCAAAATGGAAACGGTCTCAGCTGGAAGTGTGTCGCTTATTGGATAAGCCCATTCTGGAACACCAAAGCTCCTTATGACTGGAATGTGGATTATTTTGGTTGTTTTGTGCAGGATGGAGCAAAGGCGCTTCCCTGGTGTGAACGAATGCAAATTTGACAATAAATCGCACATACTGTATAGCACAATATTTTCTGTCAAGCATTTTGAGAAACACAATCACACAGCGGTCCTACTTTCACCCATGAAATGATACCTGAAGTTTAGGTTTAAAAAAAAAAAAAAAAAAAAAAAACTTTTAGAAAATAAAATAAAATAAAAAGATGGACAAGCATTCTAAATAAAATTATAGCATTTTTTTTTTAGAACACACAGCATGTAAGTACAGTACGCCTGATGCAGAGGAAAAAAAAAAAAGCAGAGGATGGCACATATTAATGAATACTTTCAAAACTTCTCCTCCCTCTTCCCCAAAAAACAAAGCAAGTAAAATAGAAACGGGACTTCAATAATTCAAGGAATGAGAAGACAGAAAGGAGGGGAAAAAACCCTAAGGGGTTATTAAACAGTGTACGAATCATCAGTAGTTTTTTTTTTTTTTTTCGTTTCTCTATAAAAAGAAGGGTGCAGAAATATTACTTTTTTCAATTCCCAAATCATCAAACAGCTGAAAGAGAATCCTTTCTGGAGTAAAATCAAGACATTTCAGAAACAGTTTCTTTTTAACCATACTCTCCAGGCCCCACTCTTTCATTTAATGTCTCTGTGTGAAAATATAGAATAGAGCACTCTTCATCTCTGGTCTGTCCTCACACCTGTAAACAAGTACATAATTCTTTAGAACACGTCTTGCTGAAGATCACTGACAGCATGAGTACGTAAGAGGGTTTAGTTGTCTCTCAGTTTGTTGTAGGTGTGTGTTCTCTTCACACTTCAGTCTGGAAGTCTCCTTCGGATGTGTCAGGTGTGTTGGCGGAGGATGTGTCCCAGGGTTTATTGCGTAACTCCAGTCTGTCCTTATGTTCGCTGGAGCCACACATCTGCTCAGGGGTCATGGTTTTAAAGCTGTCCCAGGATCGCTGGTCATCTGTGGTGGACTTGTCCTGCATATGCACATACACAGAAGCAAAATTAAATTAAAATTTGAGCATGAACGCTAATTACCTCTAACCTCAGCCAATCTCTTATAAGTGGTGGCTAACCGTAAGCTATATAGACTATTGTTCAAAAGCGATGGGTTCAAAATATATTTTTAGTTTTATTAATATTATAACAAGTATTTAATATAAACTAATACTTATATTTAGCAAGGATGCATTCAATTGATTAAAAGTTACAGTATAGACATTTATAATACTATAGAAGATTTCTATTTCAAATAGGCCTAAATGCTGTTCCTTTGAGCTTTCTATTTATCAAAAAATTATAAAAAAAAAAATTAAGCTTCTCAACTGTTTTCAACATGGGTAATATTAATAAACCATACTCTCCAGGCCCCACTCTTTCATTTAATGTCTCTGTGTGAAAATATAGAATAGAGCACTCTTCATCTCTGGTCTGTCCTCACACCTGTAAACAAGTACATAATTCTTTAGAACACGTCTTGCTGAAGATCACTGACAGCATGAGTACGTAAGAGGGTTTAGTTGTCTCTCAGTTTGTTGTAGGTGTGTGTTCTCTTCACACTTCAGTCTGGAAGTCTCCTTCGGATGTGTCAGGTGTGTTGGCGGAGGATGTGTCCCAGGGTTTATTGCGTAACTCCAGTCTGTCCTTATGTTCGCTGGAGCCACACATCTGCTCAGGGGTCATGGTTTTAAAGCTGTCCCAGGATCGCTGGTCATCTGTGGTGGACTTGTCCTGCATATGCACATACACAGAAGAAAAATTAAATTAAAATTTGAGCATGAACGCTAATTACCTCTAACCTCAGCCAATCTCTTACAAAAAGTACCATGGTAAGAATCATTTCTAAAACTGAATACTGAAGTAATGACGGCTGAAAATGAATCTTTACCATCAAAGGAATAAATTACATTTTATATCATAATAATCAAATAAAAAAATAGTTACTTTTAAATTGTAATAATATTTCACAATATTACTGTTTTTACTCTATTTTTTATCAAATATTACGGATATAAAACATGAACAGTTAAAAAAAATTATATATAATAAATTAAAATATATTATATACACACTTATTCACACTACATACACATTTGGGGTCAGCCACCACTATAAAAAAAAACAAAAAAAAAACAATACATTTATTTTAATTTTACAGTGCTATAACAATATAACCCATATCTATGGTATTCTGGCAGAATCCATCACTACCATAGTAGTTTTTAGACATGCCAAGAGCATCAAAAGGCTGAAAAACAAAATTTTATCTCATCTGGAATGTAACTAATGGAAATGTGCTCGGGCATTTGTAATTCGCATTTAATGTGCCTGAATGCATGTTTCGACAGCAGCATAAAGACTAAATGGCCTTATAGCCTTGCTACATTACGACTTGTGTATACAACATATGGAGCGGCTCACTCATCGGCATCAGTGGTGGTCTGTGCTGCGTTTTATGCCCGGCTATTCCAGGTGTTTATTACTTCAGATGGCCAGAACACACACTTTCCATCCCATTGAGGCTAATGGTGTATCCTACAGCTATATGGCCTCTTAATGGTAGGTAAATTCCATTAGGGGCAGATTAATCTAATCATTCAGAGACTGGGGCAATATGAGGTTGGGATTGTAAGAATACATACATACATACATACATACATACATACATACATATATATATATATATATATATAAATGAGAGACAGACCACTCGAAAGGGACTTTGTTGAGACCTGACAAACTCATCTTGCAGTTCCCCTCCTCTCAAATCTATTCCCAACTTCCCCGAAAATGAGATGTATGAACCTGCATATTTTGAAACGTCTGAGGCGATCAATTTCAGGGTTCCTGTCGGCTCCCCCTCAGCTCAAATGCCCACTGATTGCATGTGTGACAGATCAGGGAGATTGGAAAACACCACGTAAATGACTCGTCTGTGGTATGACTGAGAATAAGTTTCTCAGCCTACCTCTTGTTCGTGAGTGTTTGTGAAGGGAGATACTTAAACTCAAGCTGTGTGGGTGGGTTGGCTGGTTACCATGGAAATGAAAATATCAAGACACACACACACACACACACACACACACACACACTAAATTCACACATGCACATTGTGACGATATTATTGAGTAGAGAGCAAACTGGACATCTTTTCTTTTGGCTCTCATTTACAACCTAAAAAAAATCTGATTTGCATTTGCAGGCTTGTGTAAGCAAGTTACCATCCACAAGGGGTCGACAGCAGCCTGATTATAATTCACCCAATGTAACAGGCTGACAGCTGGCAAAATGGATACAAAAAGCATAATCTGGCAGCCAATTTGCATGCTAAACTCTGAAGAAGGAACATTTTGTCGAGCAGAAGTGTTGTTAATTTTGAAGAGGAGCCCGACTTTATTCCTAAGAGAATGCTAATGCGATTGTGCTGCTCTTGCGTATTTCCTTTCCCCTCCATCTCTCTTCCTCCCGATCGCTTTGCTCCCAACAACCCTCCTTCACTTCCTCTAGCTTTCTCCATCTTTCCATGTCAGGCCTTTTCTACTTACACTCGAAGAATTCTTTTCACTTCCGGCAGACGAAATGCTCCATCACTTTTCCCTCTGTTGCAATAAAAATGAGGATGGGAGAAAAGAAAAAAAAAAGAGAATAGAGAGAGAGAGAGAGAGAGAGAGACAGGCAGAGCAAGAAAGAAACAGAGAAAAGGAGGGGATCACAGTCACTAAACATGTCTGGGGGGAAGCGATGTTTGTTTGAATTTTAGTTACCTTGATGGAGCAGTCTATAGATTAAATTTTGGAGGCATGCACGCTCCCTTCCCCCATATTTCTTTTGCACAAAGACAGAGACAACTTAAACGGCTACAGCACTATGCTCAGGAGAAGTGACTGCTAACTTCAGCATATATGAACCATATCAGACATGTCTGTATTGAAACACTGCAGTAGAGGAAGAAGAAACTTAGCACTGCAAGCTAAAGAGAAGGAAATTCTGTGATGTTTTGGAGGCAAAAATGACATAAATTCTCTTTTAAAACCTGCTGCCTACTTTCTAAGGCAGCATGCTAACAGAAATAGAACCTTATTAGTGATCTTTAAACTAGATTGAACTACTGTTTGGTTAATACTTTTCAGTATTTAATTAACTTGGTGCTTTTCTTGACAATTTTGGGTAAGTTTTGGTAGGCCTATTTTAAAATGTTGCTAAGCTAATAGAATAAAATAGCTCATTTAAAGATTCAATTATTTTTGTCAATGCCTTTCAGCGCTGAATACATTTATAATCTGATTTTTTCTTGACTTCATTATTTTGGATAGGCCTACATTTGAGCAATTTAACATGTTGCTGTGCTAACACCACAATAAAATAGCTAATTTGAACTTGATTAAATTATTTTTTGTTCAATAGTAATGAATTAAGTTTTAGCATGCTGCTAAGCTAACAACACAATAAAATACCTAATTTAAACTACACTGAACTATTTATGATCAGTATATTTTAGTATTGAATAAAATATATTGCTGATCTGGATTCTCTAATCTTTGCCTGCCGTTTTAAGGCTGGGATACTCTACTTGACTTTTTTCCAGATATTTGCCCAAATTTTAGTCTGGAGTTGTTGATGTTAGTTGTCGAAAGTCAGAGCCAGTCTGCAGATTTGGGCAATTGTTGATTTGATAAAACAAACAAACAAACAAAAAAAAGTTTCTCACGTATTGCATAGTGGGCATATACTCCAAATTTAATTCCATTCAGTTGGAGGTCATTTAGTGTATGATGCCCAGTTTTTCTCTGTAAACAAAGTCAGCAAGTTTAGGATGACTATTGTTTTAAAATTTGTTTCGATTCTGAAAGCTGTGTAGTGCATTTCAGTCATAGTATAAATGTCACTGCACTTACAATTATGAGCTTCGTTCCTTGCTTTGCAAAGGATATATATCATGCTGCCTCAGAAATTATCCAAAATGATAAATATTAGGAGGCAGGATAATGTTGCTGCCTACCATTTGAAATAGCTTTCACATCAGGAGTACACCTATAAGCCCTTAAAATGCTGTCTTGGTAGGCAGCTCACTACATTTTTGAAAAGAGCTACTCTTGTCTTTACTAATTTTCTAGCTAGTCCCTATAGAGGATTCTTAAAGACTTTAAGAATGGATGTCACTCCCTCACTCTCTCTTTCCTTCCTCCCTTTTCTGAAAGTAGTGATGGGCAGGAATGCACATCAGCAAGAACACATATAGTCTGCGCTACCCTAGACCAGGGGTGCCCAACCCTGCTCCTGTCGATCGACTGTCCTGCAAAGTTTAGCTCCA